TGTCCCCATGGCCCCCAGGCTCGCCTGTCCCTGGACTGTCCCATTCTCAGCCCCAAGCGACAATGGGGTCCATCTCCCCAGCAGTGTCATGGGGGGTGGCAGAGGGAGGTGACAGGGAGGCAGGGAGGTGACAAGGGACATCTCCTTGTGCTGTCCCCATGATCACTTGGCATGACAGGTCCCCGGGCCTCGCGGGGGTCCCCCCAGCCTGCTCCTGGCTCCGTGTGCCTTCACCTCCGCGGGCACGGAGCCAGCAGGGACCCGAGGCCACGGGGACCAGCACCCAAAGGTGGCAGCGGGTCCCCCGGGTGCCCCCGGCCCCCCCAGCCCCGGGGGTGGGCGCTGGAGCGGGATCTGGCCGCGGCCGAGGCCGAGCCCTGGCCGGACGCCAGCGGGGACAGGCGGCCGGCGGCTAAACTGGGCTCGGGCCGCGCTGCTCTTAAAGGAGCCGGAGCTGCCGGGAACCGGGGGGGGGTCTCTGGTGCCTCGGGGGTCCCTCGGGTGGCTGCGGCTCCCAAGGCAGGTGGACGATCCTGTCCCCATCCCGCCATCCCACCCTGGTGCCGCGGGATGGGAGTGGGATCCATCCCCACCCCTCTGCCCCCCCGAAGGGTGAGGGAGTGGGAATGTGGGGCCACTTCTGCGTCTTTGTATTCTCCTGGAGAGCTGGGGATGAGTGAGTGTGTGATGATCTGTGCCATTCCCAGTGTCCTCCACTGGAAATATGGGACACACATGTGTGGGAATCTCCATCTCAGCACCCCTCCTGGAAAATAATGAGGGATATTTGGATATAGGATGGGTGGGCATGGGACCAATCTCCATCCTGGTGCACCTCCTGGAGAACATGGGATGGGTGAGTGTGGGATCCCACCGTCATCCAGTGCCCTCCAGAGAGCATAGGGGGAACAGGCAAGGGATGGATGGACACGGATGGGTGGATGGATGGACATGGGATGGAGGGACACAGGATGGAGGGACATAGATGTGGTGGATGGACGTGGGCTGTGGGATGAGTGGACATGGGCAGGATGGATGGACGTGTGTGGAATGGGTGGATATGGGATGAATGGACAGGGATGGGATGGATGGGCATGGATAGGATGGATGGACGTGGGATTAATGGACGTGTGGAAAGGGTGGATATGGGATGCACGGACACTGGATGGGTGGACATGGGTGGGATAGATGGACAGGGGATGGATGGACACGGATGGATGGAGGGACAGGGATGGATGGACAGAAGGACACAGGCGTAGTTCCCCTCCAGCCCCTCTCTGCCCTGCCTGGGGCTGCCCCACGGCCACGCGGGTCCGGCACAGCTGCCCCGGCCGGGGGGAGGGTCTGGGGGGAGGGTCCGGGCAGGGGGCCCAGGAGGGCTCGGGAGGAGGATCCGGGCGGGGGGCGGGGGCGGCTCCGGAGGCGGCGGCGGCTCCGGGTGCGGGAATGTTTGTGCAGCTGGAGCC